GCCCTACCCTGCGTCTGGGTGACTAATTCGAGGCTAAAGCCTCTGAGTAAGTCTCATGGTTAGGCCTTTGACACATGGACCACGTCTCTTGTAAAACCTACTGTCAGCCCACTAGCTCCCATTGCCGCGGCGTCTATCCTGCTTCTATCTTTAATACCAAGTCTATGACTTAGTATACCCTAGTCTCTTGTATGCCAACCCACAAACGTTGTGGTTCAACATTGAACCTAGTCAAAGAAAACGAGCTCCGACTGCCTTGAGTAGAACAAGAAACGTTATAGGCGAGGATTCGGAGGAGGAAGACCAAAAACGATGACAAGCGTTTGGTCACAAGGTGAGAGGATGGAAATAAGCCCTAGCCTAGTTTCTGGCTTAAAATACTCTTGTGTACGTTCAATACCATATTCTGATTGGTTCAGCAGGGAGGATCGATGAGATAACTAGGTTCACTTATTCACCATGTGACATAGTTCAGATAAGTCATGCCCTGAGTAATGCTGCGTAAATTGACGGTTAACTGCTTAATGGCTATCGAGTAAAAGGTACTACATTTCATTAAGATCGCAAGGATATGTGTATGAAAAAGGGACTAGAGTTGCAACCGGCCGCTTTTTCTCTAGGTTTAGTATATATTTTGCGCTATTGTATAGTATGGATTCTCGCTCGGATGATGTCTGTCACGGCGACACAGACGAAAGCTTAGCACAGATTGATCGAAGTCACAGGACGGTAAGCAAAGGACTTCTATACACAATCCAATAATCTTCACTCCACGACAATTCTCCCTCGGCTTCCGATGAGTCTATTTTATGAATTCCTTCAAACAAACTTTTTCTTCTCAATATAAAAACAAGTCGCATGATAATGAACAATACCAAACGATCAATGTGGCTGAAAATAGAATATCCGTAAGCAAAATAGAGAAGTGTGATTATATGCTTGAAATATATAGATTTTCAAGAGAAATAATGGCATTTAATGGAGTTAACCTGATGTGCAGATTAGCCCATTCAGCCTTGATTTCAAATCATAAAGCTGTGGAGTTGGGCTATCATTTTTTACGATTATGTTAGCAGAATTCACCTTAAAGGAAATCCATCTTAGTTCAGTAGCAGAAAGGCCAAGTATCCTAACCCTCAGCACTCATGACGCATTAACAGTGACATAGGCACTCACCGTATTCTCTGCTCCAAACATCACGGCAGTATCGTAGTCTGCCAGCTCCAGGCGCCAGATGTCAGCACGACGGAAGCTAATTTTTGGCAAATGACCTGGAGACAAAGTGGAACGAAAGCGGATCCAGGCGAAGCGTGAGTACCATACCAGAGGCCGATTTAATTCGATTCCGTGCAGACTTGTTAATCCTGTTAGTTGAGCGGAGTGCCTGGCAATACTAAAAAGCTGAAAAATGTGAATATGCATGGAAGAAAATTTAAGGGATAATTCTTGAGCAATATAAATTAGAGTTATCTCCAACAAGGTAAGCTCATGAGATAACAATACTGTCTGCAGGTAATCAAATTGTAATCGTTGGTACGAATATCGCAACGCTTAATGTAATAGTATGGAGCCATTATCAAAAGTAGCAGGATTGTCAATTTCGCATCAGCTGAATATATTAATTTAGAGACAGCCGGATGGCACACATCGATAAATGTTTACATTAGATCATTCTATACAACAAGATGTGTTCGACTTTCCAAGTTGCCTGAAATCATTATATAATTATTTTTTCATTTCTTTGGGCTGCACATAAAAACTTTACTTACAAATAAACTCATCTAAATATCCAATATTCAATAATAATCGTTCTACAAAAGTGCTCTTATTTGTAAGCATAGCATACGTAAAAACCTTTCATTCATCAGTCGTCCCAAAGTTTATCTCTTTATGAAATATAAATTGTCTCATGAAAGCAAAGGGTTGGTGTCTTAAGCACATGTTAAGCGAGGCTTCGAAGAATACCTTGATAGATTGATGTTGACGTAACTTGTATTTAGTTTGAAAGGCCAGGCAGAAGCTATTTATAAATTGACCTTACCAGAAACCGAATGAGTCATATTGTTGGTTATTGACCACGTCTCATTTTAATTCTTTAATGCGGCGCTCGCTTCAGACGAATGCCGTTTATACAGCTCCAATAGGTATTGAGGTAAAAGCCCGTCGGCATAAGTCTCGCTTATTTGAATATATGAAGACCAAGATGTTGTGACTTCTGGTGTGGTTGCAGTCTCCTTTCCATTGATAGAAGTAAGTTGACCTCGTTGTCGCAACTTGGTCTTGTTTTCAGGGAGACCAGGTAGAACGCACCTAGTCCGGAGTCGTCTGCCATAGTAGTTGTCATGATTCCCAGCATCTGA